TACATACATACATACATACATGGGTACATCCATACATAACTTTGCTTGGTGTCCGCTCCGAGGTTTGGAGGCTCGAATCCGAGAACAAGGAGCTGAAGGCTCCCTCTTTAATATGAGGGTTTCCGAAAATTAGGGGTACCTTATTCTGGGGTCCTTATAAGAAGGGTCCTACTATTTCGGGTATCATATTAGGGTCCCCTATTTTCGGAAACCCCCATACAGTGGTCTAGAGTAACTACCAATACTCTTTTTCGGGTTTCCTGAACTCGAGTGGAGTACACCCCAAAACCCTATTCCAGTTATGGTGGCCCTTGCATTATCTAGCCTGCAATACCGCTTTGTTTCTCGAATCTGGTTTTATAAGCAGTTCTTTGAGGGAGGTCATTCCGGGGGGCAGTAGTTCGCAAGTGACGACCTGGTTAAATTGCGATTCCGCAGTTCACGGACACTTGCCACAAGCAGGTTCACAATTCCATCTTGCAGACGCAGTACACCTCGCAGTACGAGACGAATGCTGACATCCTCAGGAGCATCATCTCATGACATTGAATCATGCAGAGTCTCCTTTGTCTTCTTGCAGATTGAAAGTCGCTCATGAGACGCATCGCAGGACCCTCCACTCGAACCTTGAGGGCAACTATGCCACAATAGAGCGGCATGAGCGAACGATTATGGAGCACTCTGGCAGCAGAAAAGCTTGGTCAACAGGAAATCTATTGTGCGTCATGCGCTGCAAGCTGGCAATCCACGCTGCAGTTAGGCTTGCAAGGTTGGCCTCGTCTATTGCTAAGCTAGCAGTGCCAGATGCTTTGGAGTGTGTGGGGGTGTACAGTAGTAGGTACCAAAGCTCCCCCTTGCCAATGATGTTCTGTCTGGTCCAGGTTGGAACACAAGCTCGAAGCGGGCAGCTTAGTGCAGAAATGGAGAGATGGCTCGGCAACAGGGCCAGACATTGATGCAGCGCAGGGTTCAGCTTCGCTTTCAGTCTGAATCACGGGCCGCGCTTGCAAACGCCGAGGACCAGAAGCAGCAGGCAAAGGACGATCTAGATACGGAAATGGCCAAGCCAATGCCTGAAAAAGCAGTCAGAAGCTGCGGGATCGGGATCTGCCGTACTTTTAGCCCAAAGCCCAGAGCGCGCGCCCCCCTCGCACCATAAGGAAAGACGCCGTCATAGCGAAGCTGAAGACGCAGAAGGAAGAGCTAGAGGGCCAACTCAAAGAGGTCGGAGACAGACATGACGACATCTGAGTTATGTTTTTAGTCTGCGAAGGTTTGGGGTTCATTGTTTTGTACAAGTCGCACTTCTTTCTGATGTTTGTTGCTATCTTCTTTTTATATGCTAGTATCATGCGAAGTCCACCGAAGTGCGTGGGACTTGGAATGTCCAGGCCGTGGAGGTACAAGAGAAGGTTTTTGCCAGACGAAATATGTGCTCATCAGGTCCATGGCTACAACTGCAAATGCTGGATAGGACACTCCTGGTTGTTGAGTTATGTTGTCACCCCTCGTTCGAAAACGGCTGATTGAGAATGCCGCACGACGCCTCGATTCAAGATCACATTATTGTCAAGCACGGGCTGCAAGCACACCAGTCGCCCACTGCAAACAGCGAGACATTCCTGGGTTATCGACTTGAAATGTCAGACATGATAAAAGGAGACACGAGGGGACGCGCAGAGATAACGAAAGGATGCAAGAAAGGGTTCTGACCTGAGGAGCCTCCCGACCCCTCAGCATAGGTGTTTGGGTGTAATTTTACATCCCACTGCTGCATCAGAGTAGGCGGTGCTGCACGGACATGCGACATGGCTTGAATCCGTCGTTTGCCCGTATGTTCCTGCCGGATGCAGGCTAGTATGCTGGATCTGTATCGAGTCCTTTTATCGGGCGCTTTCTGAATTGGATCTTGCCACAGGTCCGGGAGTTCCAAAGAGACAAGGAGAACATGGAAAAGGAGCTCCGAGCCGAGCTGAAAGCCAAGGTGCAGCTTTTTGTTTTCTCGCAAGGAGCTCGCATCGCTGAAGCAGCAGCTGGAGGATAATAAAGAGGCCCGTCGATGATGTTCCCTCCCATTTCCACCGTCATCGGAGCACGTGCACATTGCAGGACTTCGCTCGCAAAATGAGCGACTACGATCGGAAAAAGGCCGTGGACATGGACATCCTCCGCCGGGACCCTCTCGACAGATTGTAAGCGGCGACCAAAACCTCGGGCTTGAATCCTTCAGGCTTTTGGCCTAAGGTTCGTGAGACTGCGCGTGAGACTTGCTCAAGCCAGCCTGCATTACCTTCACAGCAGGGCTTTGATTACCTGGCTGGCTGTGCAGGACATGGTCAAAAGGGTAGAGGATGCCAACGAGATGCTCAAAGCAAAGACGAAGGACAGCTTGCTCATCATTTTCGCTCGGACTGCGACAAGATCTGAAGTGATCACAGTAGCATAAGTTATTGTCCAACCTTGTGCAGCCTATTGGGCTTTCTTCTAAGTTGACGAAGACTAAGATCCTTCAAGCCTGTGCTTTGCGCCATGGAAGATATGCCGAAGTCCAAGTCACTACGGTGGGTTTAGAGCCGAATGAGCGGTAGGATTCGTGTGTCCACTGTTGACGGCTTGAAGCCCTGAGCCACCCATCTGAGCCTGTTTGAAGGAACAGCTGGACTCCACCACGAAAAGAACCATCATGGAGAACGAGCAGATGGTGCGAACCTCGCTGTTCTTTCTTCACCTTCAACTCTTTAGGGCTTCGGAATTTCACCTCTCGTGCCTTGCAGCTTCTGGGGCAGTCAAGCATCGAAGTAAGCTCAAGAGCAAAAGGCGTCAGGGAACGCCCCCAGCTGCAGACCTTAACCCCTCCGGCTCGCCAAGTTTACAGAGCTCCACTTCCAGAGCAAGGAGACTGAAAAGCTGATGGAGAGGCTCGGGCCTTCTCCGAGCTGTCCTTGCGGATCCTGTGCTCCGAATCTTTCGGAACTGGTCTGGCCGTCTTCTTCGCAGTGTTGGGTTTCCTGCATTCGGGGAGCGCATGGCTGATGCCCAAAGCTTCCCGGACCGACAGTGAAAATGCCCCGAGGAACCAATCCCTCCTGGAAGAGAATGCCCAACTGCGGCGTAACCTTCTCATCCACAAGGATTGCGCACGACTTTTGGCAGTGAACATGTGGGTCTAGAGTGGGCTGTCTTGCCTGTACTTCTCCCGTCTCCGGGAAGGACTTGGAGAATGAGCTGGCTCGACGCACTCACCTCTACCAGAGATTGCTTAAGAAAATGGACCAGAAGCACGCCTGCCTTGTTTGCAGCCGCGGTTTGCATTTTGCCTTGGCTCTCGGATTTCAGCGCTTCAACTCGGAAAGAGCTAGTGCTACGTACTCGGCGCGCTCCGTGCTTCTTTCGGGCTTTAACTTTGCCAGTTGAGTCCAGTTCCTTTGAATATCAGCCACCGAACTTATTCGTAACAGGTTGAAGTCGGAGGCCGCACAGCAGGAGCAGCCCCAGACTCAGGGTCATCCTGTCATCCAGTGATTGCCAGCTGCCCACAGTGCGTTTAGCAAATCTCTGCTAGAACCCACAGAAGTCATCCCGACATCTGCGGACACTAAGGTCTCGTGAGTTCAATCCGGCGAAGTCGACGGAGTCTGCAATGCCGGAGCAGGACCAAGAAAGCAGTAAAATGTATCCCGCACATGCTCAGAGGGCTGACAAAACACAGTGATGTCGCCGTGAGTGCAGGAGAGCTTCTCGCTGGGAGGTTCTCGGGAGGTGTCTGGAAGCCATCCGCACAGCCAGCAGCCCAAATTCGATTCTTGATTCAGCGATTCGTTTCATTCACCATGGCCGCCACTGTGAGTTATACGGCAAGTCTCGAGGTACTAGCCTCTCAGTCGAGGAGATTAGTCGCCTGCAGAGGCAAGTGGAGGCCGGACGGCGTGTCAAGCTTGAATCGCACCTTACAAGAAGGTCAAGCGGCGCCAGCGCTTGTTTATTTGCGAGCATTGCTTTCTCTGCGACTATCTATTATGCCCGCGATCAGCCAAGCGCAGGATCACCAGAGCACCCTCCAGATGGTCGGCAGCCTAAATTTATCTCAAGATTGCAGAGCTCATGATGTCACCTCACCACGCAATAGATGCAGTCTAAATTCAATCCGCAAGACGAGGATTTATCTCGACATTATATGCATTTGCTTAGTCCTCGAGTTGCAAACTCCAGCGCGATGTTGTTCGACACTTCATGCTGTGCCAGTTCGACAATGTGCACATTGCAACGTTAATCCGGTGCTTGCGATCAGGTGCGGCATGAGTTCGCGCAATATCGGCGCGATCATGCGACTCTTGCCCAGCTACAGGCAACCGACTCTAATCGCATGGAGCCAGCCAAAGCGGTTCTTTGACCCCGGATTCGATTGCAGGACCAGAGCACACGCCTCATCATCTCAGCGCTCTATGAGCTGAAGCAGCAGAAGGAAGCGTGGGAAGGGTTCTCCAGCTGTGCACTGCTTTGGTGCAGTGCGTCTTGCTCGGTTTTGAGTTGGGGTTGGTTGATGCCAGCAGCTACAGTGGGACAGAGTCCGGCTCTTGTCCCGTGTGTCTCTCGCCGTCTCTCTCTCCCCCGATTCCTTGTGTTTGTTAGTCGGCACAAGTTGGGCTGGAATAGACTGGCCGACTAAGTCGAGACAGAACGCATTCCTAGAGGTCGCTGAAGCAGCTCGGGATCAATCCTTCTGTCACTGGAGGATCAGGCACCGTTTCCTCCGACGTCGTCGGCTCCTTACAGTTCACATCAACGGAAGCTGATCGCTTCTTTGCCCGCGCTCCATGCGCAAAGCATGGTCGCACTGTGTAATTAGTTCGCATTGATGACTGAAGGTGTGCACTTGTTTCGGTTCGGGTTAAAGCTCCGGTGTCAGGTATGATCCAGATGCTGAGTGGCAGTTCACGAATATGACACCAAAGCAGAAAGAGCAGCTTGGCAGCTTGGGAGCGCGCCGTGAGGGTTGATTGCGAGACAAACTTCAGGTGCGGAGAGCCCTTTTCAGAATGATTAGTTTGTGTTGAGATACCAGGTACTTCTTCCGCGTTCTGCTGGAAAAGCTCAACAGCAGCATGTGCGCGATGTGCTTCCCTGTCGGCCTGAGGCTTGTTCTGACTGCACAGTTTTTGTTAGGGTTTAGGGTTGTTTAGGTTTTAGGGTTTAGGGTGACAGCGCATGCCACATTATCTGGGCTAATGGTACTTGATGGCCGTACTTGCACAATATGAACCTCGCTCGCCCCTTTGCTCCCACGACTCACGGAATGGACATCCGAGAGCTCCTGCCGAGGTCCACAGGCGACCTCCACCGCAAGCCTGCCTGCCATCGGAAAGACGGAGCAGGGTGGCAAGGAGGCCGCGCCATTCAAGCTTCCGGCCCAGAAGGACCCAACAAATTCCTAAATCCTTTGACTTGGCAGGAGCTTAAAGGCCATCATCCACAGAAGCCCCTTGAAGTGAAGCCGAACTCCCCGTATCAGGGCATCCGCTTCTCCCAGTTCCTGTGGTCCGTGGCGACGGACGATGGCCCATCGCAAGGCAGTGCTGGAAGGGCTCTGAAGCTCCTGGCGACAGCAATGCCACACTTTGCTGCGAATATGCGATCAGGCTTCGTTCGAGTCAAGAGACCCAAAGCCCTGCTTCCGGCAGGCCTTCGCCAGGAAATGTGCACGAAAGCCTGCCAGACAGAGACCAGCACAGCAGATCCCTGCTTGAAGGAGCGGCCGCGGGGACCCTGGGCAAGCTACCCCTATAATCTGAAAGGCCCAATGTACTGCTGCGTGAATATACTCGGGGTTTTGAATGTACATTCTGGTGGTGGATAGCCTTCCCCGCAAAAGTCATATCCAGAGTCAGCTCTAGGGCACTGTACTGCACTGCAGGCTGCAAGGCCCTGACATGGAATGCATCTCTATAGCAACAAAAAAAGGCCAACCTGCCTCCTTTGCAAAGATTTCTTAACCTCAAACCCCTAAAACCCTTCAGAAGCCCAGATGCTCCAAGCCTACAGAGCGCAGATGCAGGAAGGGATTTGGAATCCGAAGGGCAAGACGTCCCACCTCAACTCGGCCGGCATGCTCACCGCTGGCATGGTGCCTCGATCAGAGTGCGGAGGAAGTGGTCTTTGTGGGGCTTTGATGTTTGCTGTGGTGTTCGTGTGGTTTCCCCTGGGCGGCCGTCAGCCTTTCAGGAGCAACCGCACCCAAAAGCTTGTCCACTGCATCTCTCCTAAACAACAGACTCACCTCAAGGCCCTGCACTGGCACCAGTCCTTCTGGCATCCTTGCGAATGTCCGAGTGATTGGAAATCTTAGGTAACATTATAGCAGCATTCGAAGGACTTTACGAGGGACCCCTAATAGGGACCCTTAATCCCATTACCTTAAACAACCATTGTATAGTCCTTAAATACCCCTTATACAGCCAGGTAGCCTCCATACTAACCCCAAGAACCTACAAGGGTCCCTGTTGAGGGTCCCTCCTAAAGCCCTTAGACCCTAAACCCCTAAACCCTAAACCCTGCATCAAAGCCTCAGAAGCCTCCCAGGTAGCTGGGAACGTGAGGAACTGGGGGCCGAAGGCGGTCTCGCACCGGACCCGTGGCTTCTGAGCCCTCAGAGCCAGGGCTTTCTGGAGGCTTCTTGTCTCTTTCCTATAGAAGGCCCTACTCTAGGGTTCAGGGTTTTAGGATTTAGGGTTTAGGGTATAGGGCTTCAGGGCAATAGAGTTTAGCGTTCGGGGCCAGTTTGGGGTTTAGTCATGCTTTCCTGTATCTAGCTGCAGTTGGAGGAGGATGGGCAAACCGAATCAGAAGAGACGGAACTTTCATGGGGGTACGTGTTATCGTCGTTTCCTGGCACAGCCAGCATGTTCTCCGAAGATCCGAGAGAACCATAGAACATCTCACCTGACGAAGCCACCAAATGGTGGCACCTGCATCCATCCACCCAGTGTCACCGAAGAATACACTGTTGTGTGACGGGTCTTTTTCCAAAGATGGTCGTGTTGAAAGCTTTTCGGGCCAAATAGGATCATGCGACTAGTTGTACGCCATTCGGTGCCACACCACATGTCTCACTTGGCCTCGCAGTGGTCTCCGGGGGCTCAAAAATGTGTCCCCTGAAGCCAATGGCTGCTCAAACAGAGAGGCAATACTAGTACAATCGGTTGTTCATCGCAGCGCATCCTACTGTCAGACTTGGATAGACTTGACCAAGTGCCTCGGATCTCCCATTGGCTCTGACCAACCAGATTGTGTCAACTTCTTCAAGACCAAAAAGTTTGCTGGGTAATGCACATGATATTATGTGCACCATGTCCGTCGCAACTTCAGCAAAGCAATTTTGGACCAAGTGCCAACGGGCAGAGACTTTGGGACCGCGAGGAACAGAAAGGACCTCCTCCAGGACGGGCTCGAAGGATCTCTCGCTGAGTCTCAGCTCCATGGCCCCGGGGACCCAAGCAGTGGCCACAAAGCCTGCAAGAAAAGGTATGTGTAGAGACATCCTAGGCCTCTGCTTGTCCTGGAGGATGTCGCCGCCGGCCGACGACAGAGCGGGACTCAAGCGTCATGCAGCTGACAGATATCATGATGTCTGATTTCATGATTCACAAGTCGAAGCTGAAAGACAACAGAAAAACGCCATGAAGTTCTGGCAGAAAAACTGTCGCGAGTTGCTGGCCAACGACCGTTGAGACGTAAGGGCTTCCCTCGAAGAACCGCGATGCCGGCTTCTAACGGAATACACCAAGTGTCAAACATCTTCCAACTACGTATGCGTTCAAGACTAGTCATAAACAGAGACACTGATATCATTGATATCGTATCATCTTAAAGATCTACAAAGAGTCATAAGTTGACATCTCTCTTCTTTCTACCCTGAGTTGCCAGCACAGGCCTGTCGCCAAAGCGGGATCCTCAGATGGCCGCATGCAGAGCGCAGAAGTGAGCATGGCTCCCAAACCTGCAAACCCCAAGCTTCAGGACCCATAACGGCCCAGCGAAACGCCACAGAAGAGTGGCCTTGACCCAGGGACTCCAATACCCCTAAATTAAGGAATATACCTTAAATCTTATTAGGGATCCTACTATAATTTAAGGTCTATTCCTTAAATTAAGGGGTATTGGAGTCTCTGGGGAGCGTCCTTATTATACTTATATTATATTTCTAGTATAACGAGCCCCCAAAACCCTATTCTAACTAGCCTTGAGCCTGACTTAAGGAGACTGGGCCCTGTAGCTCTCGTTGGTGCTGGCCCTGGCGACCCGGAGCTGCTGACGCTGCCGGAAGCCGAGCCTTTCTTGGCGAAAGGTCCTTGAAGAGCCCTTCTTGATCCATGGATCGATTTTGCAGTTTCCGAAAATAGGGGACCCTTAATATAGTACCCTAAATAGTAGGATCCTTATTATAAGGAGCCCAAATTAAGGTACCCCGTATTTTCGGAAACTCTCATTTAGGCAGTATGAACAGATGGGGCTTTCGGGCTTTGAAGCCTTCTACCGGCCGGTTGGCAAACGAAGTCGGCTGGCTACGCTTAGCTGCCAGCCCTGGACCGCAAACCGGCGTAAGTTTCGGCTTGGAGGTATAGCCCTGCAGTATACTATACTGTTAAGCTATGAACTAGGTCTCGAGATTGTTTAAGTACCGCTCACCCCACTGGACCGAATCATGTGCGCCTTGAGGTAGGGTTGTGAAGGAGTTAGACGATACCTTGCCTATTTAGGTGTATGGCACCGCACATATACCCCCCCCCATACACCAAAACCCCATTTCCCACTCATTTTTCCCAACTACTTTCTCCAACAGCATACCACTTCATCCCCCGCACTCCCGGATCACCAAATATTTTCTCAACGAGCATACCATCAATTTTCCACCACTTTTTCCAACTTTTCAAACCTCATTTTCGCATTTTCAACCAGCCAACCACTTGCCCCCAAGCGTCCAAATCTTCAGCATCCCATTTTTCAACGAGCAAAACAAAAACCTTCACCCCCAAACATCGCACCATTTTCCCTTCAAAAACTCAACAGATGTTGCCACCTTCTTCACCAGCTCTTTAAGAACTGCACCCCAACTGCACTGCACTGCTCCACAACATTTTCCATCAAAGCCAGCCCACTTGCCCCAGCAGCAACCATTGATCCACAGCCTGATCTCGTCTGCAGTCCTCGTGTGAAGGTGCTACCCTTAACCCTAAACCCTGAACCAAATTCTATCAGGACCTCCTTGCCTAGTTAGGCGTATGGCACCTGGATAGGGGTGTTGGAGTATTCCTAAGATGGTAGCTTGGGTTGGGATCATCCTACTGGGGCTGAGATCTTAAGATAAATCTTATCCTAGGGTGTAGGGTGAGATCTTAAGATAGATTTTAATCCTAGGGTGGGGGGCTGGGGAGTGGCATATTCTACGAGGTGGACTTTGCCTATTTTCGGGTGGTGAGATCAGGCTGTGGATCAATGGTTGCTGCTGGGGCAAGTGGGCTGGCTTTGATGGAAAATGTTGTGGAGCAGTGCAGTGCAGTTGGGGCGCAGTTCTTAAAGGGCTGGTGAAGAAGGTGGCAACATCTGTTGAGTTTTTGAAGGGAAAATGGTGCGATGTTTGGGGGTGAAGGTTGTTGGTGTGCTCGTTGAAAAATGGGATGCTGAAGATTTGGACGCTTGGGGGCAAGTGGTTGGCTGGTTGAAAATGCGAAAATGAGGTTTGAAAAGTTGGAAAAGTGGAGGAAAATTGATGGTATGCTCGTTGAGAAAATATTTGGTGATTCGGGAGTGCGGGGGATGAAGTGGTATGCTGTTGGAGAAAGTAGTTGGGAAAAATGAGGGGGGAAATGGGGTTTTGGTGTATGGGGGGGTATATGTGCGGTGCCATGGTGGCGGTGAGGGTGACGGTAGTGTTGCTGACAGCTGATGAAGGCCATGGCTTAACAGCAGTAGTGTACACGGTGATAGGTCATGAAGGATCGCAGCACGCGACATTCTATCTCAAGCAGCGACATACCAGGACCTTGAATATTTGGTGCCCTGGCAAGGCATGCAGCTCTCTAACAGTGTAGCATGAGCACCTGTCCATCCTCAGGCGTGCCGTGCGGCGTCTCGAGGCCTCCTGGAACGGACATCATGCGAAGCCATCCTATACTTATTGCTATGACCCATGACCATGTTCTTCAGAGGAGCTGTAGCAGTAAGCATGATTCCTGCCAGTGTTGGCTTGCACGGTTATGGTTCTATGATGCTGTTGATGATGGTGGTTCTGAGAGCTGGTGCTGATGCGACAGACCATAGGCCTCAGAGGCTTGCGGACCTACCAACCTTTCTTCAGCTGCAGGATCCAGTCTTTCGGGAACTTTTCCCAAAAGGGTAAACTCCAAGTGCTACACCATCGGCATCCCAAACCGTCAGCTGAACTGATTTGTGGATGTCACTAGATGTCCCAATAGCCCCCCCCCCCCCCCCCCCGGGTTTAATGGAGGAGCTTCTCTGCGGAAAGCGACTGGTCCCAAACTTGGGCTGAGCAGGGTTATACCTCAGCATCCTTATCCGCATGCATCAAAGCAGAGATCACTCCTCATCAGCACTGCTTTTAACATCTTTTCACAGTAGTAAGTAAGATGTAGCAAGGAGCAACTCCAACCTGCTTGCCTTGCGGAGTCGTGTCTCGACTGTTTCGAAGCCCCCCCCGCTACTCCCTCTCGTCAGGCGGCCGACGTGGTGCTGCATGATTCCCTCATCCCCGAGGAGGTTCAGCAGTAATGTTACTGGTACTAATTGGGTCATTAATGGCAAGACTTGTGCCAATAAGGCAGCATGATGACTTGTAGCAGTAGCTGGACGGAGCTCATGCCGCAGGAATCCGAAGTTGATACGTTGTTCATGCAGAGTTGTCGCTGATGGTGGGTCATAAGATGTACATGACGGACAGGTGTTGAACATGGTTCCTCGACGAGCGCAGCTAATAAATGTCGGAAAGCGATGCGGCGATGTCAAGGCGCGCCTCCTGAGTGTGTCTGTGTGTGTGTGTGTTTGTTTGTTTGTTTGCTTGCTTGTTGCGTGCTTGCTTGCTTGGCTAGCTGTCTGTCTGTCTGCTTGAGGTCAGAACATGTCAGAACCGAAGAAGTGCAGCGGGGTCTTTGAGTCGATTCCAGCCTTGCATAGCAGCCAATCAAAGCCTCCGTCATCCGCGAATCTACGGAACTCTGCGGCGTGCATCAGAAGCCGCTTGCATTGCTGAAGGACAGAGGCCTTCAGCAGCAGGCTCGCTGTGATGCCACACGTACTGCAGCCTTCCAGACACTTCCCTCCACAGTTTTCGTCAAGGTTTAGAGCTCGTGCTTTCGCAGCATATTCTAGTATACTAGAGTACATTATACTAGAGTATTTTATAGTACATCATAGTATATTAGAGTATATATTAGAGCATATAAAAAGCTGCGGAGTTTCGAGGTTTTCCCTCTGCACCAGGCGGTGGTCTTGTTCTGCCAGGAGATTCACGAGTTAATGCTGCTGCACAGCCGACGTGGTTGCAACGTTGTTCGGCTTAAATGCCCCGGTCTCAATCTTCAGTTGCACTCATCCAGGGTATGTAGTCAGGTCCTGCTGGCCCATCCTCCTGGTGCTTCTCCAACCTTCTCTAAGTTGCAGCTTTGAGGTGGTGATCCATTCATCTTCGGGCGAGGGGGCGAGGAGAGGCACAGAGGAATCCGATCCGTCAAGTCTTTGCGACATGCATCAGGAGCTGGAGTTCCTGGCAGCGAATCAGGTGTCAAACTGAGTGTTTTTCGCCTCGATTGCCGCTCGTGGTCGTAACCATCCATCATCCCATGTGATTCCGCTTTACTGCAGGTCCCCAGCGAGGTGGTGCCAGGCATCACTAGTGCGCTGGGCGCCGCAGCCTCCTGCCAGGCGAGTGAGAAGATTCCGGGCTGAGGGGTTCAGGGCGCAGGGCTTCAGAGTAGTTTTGCATCCTTCCCTGAATCCTACTATATTCTACTTGGGTCCACGATTCGTTGAAACTCCCAAATCCTGTGAGGGGTTTGTCAAGGGCCTGACGCCCGGGATTGGGAGTTGGTATCGTTGTTGTTGCAGGCTCGGAGGTCGCTCGGAGCTTGTGCTTTACAGTGCTGCTGCTGCTGCTGCTGCGGCGACTGCTACCACCACCACCACCACCACCACCACCGCCACCACTACCGCCACCGCCACGACCACCGCCACCACGACCACCAACTGCATGGCAAGCATGGTCGAATTCATTCCCACCACACCGGAACCAACAATTTACTAGAACGTCATGCTACAGACATGGAACATCAGTGCAGCCCAGCCGGGAGCGGCAACAGCATGCCAAAAGGAAGGTCTTCAGTATGCGCATGTCGCTGTTGGTCGCCGTTGGCTTAGGACTCTTAACAGCTGTAGCGGTGTATCTACCATGGCCGCTTGCTGGGTCTTCGAAGCGAAGCTGCTGTTAATGACCGTGCCTTGAACACCACGATGCCCATTAGAACCGACAGGAGCAGGCTCGAGGTTCCAAACATGAAGCCGACCGCTTTGGAGACGACTGGTGAACCTGCTTCGGAAAAGCACAACAAGAATCAGACCAGGAAAGCAGGCAGCTGAGCTCCAGGTCCTAATGCCAGTCAGCCCTGCTCTCGGAAACTGGAACCCTGCACCGGCTGTCAATATTCAAGCAGCCACAAGAAGACCCGTTTGCCAAGCCTACCAGGAACAGGAACTGTCCCGTCCCGACGCAACAGCCGGCGAAGGCGTCACAGAGCACTGCCTCCGAACTCGGATGGTGCGGACTATGGCACTTCGGAATTATTCGGAAATCACTCGCGCTTGGTTTGGCTCAAGCCACTCACTCACACCCTCCCATGCCACACTGCTCGACTCTCTCCATTCTTAAGGTGTCACCTGGTACCACTCCCTTGTTTCTCCCATTGACCTCGTCCTTCAACCACGATTCAACATGAACTTGCGTATCCACCACATCCCTCGACCTTGATTCGGCTTCCATGACCCCTGATCATCCCTGAGAGGCTAACTTCACCTTACTTCCTGATCCCACCAGCAACAACAAGCCATGGTTTGATCCTTTCCGGGGCCGGTCCTTGTATGCGAAAGCACCGCAACCACCAACCAACTTCAAGCCTCATTCCAAAATCCGATCAAAGCCCTTCACGTGCCAGACTGGACCCGATCGCGCCCTCAACAACTCCAGCTGCAAGCCTTCCGTCGCTCGCGGCACGCTGTGACATAGCCTCAACAACATTGTTCTTAGGCGTCTGTCTTGAGGCGAGCCAGTCTAGGCCCTGGGTCTTGGTGCTTCGGGGTACAGTTACCCACAGATTCGAGGCAGTTTGCAGGAGACCCGCGTGAACCCTTCGGCTCGGAGTCGTAGGTCCTGCCTCTCCACACCGCGCAGGGTATCGTCAGTACGGAGCGGCCCTGTCGGCGCTGGTGGCAATGGGAAACCCAGGTGACGCCCGAAACCTCAGCAGGCAGGAGTATCTCCGATCCAAACATATCCAGGCTTCCTGTAACACAACTCTGGTCAACGCTTCAGAATATACTATAGTATTGGCATGCACGTTGTAGTATAGTATTTTGATTTTTTTTTTTGTGCACAATGCATGGCCTACCTCAATGGCAACCGTGTCCATAACTTCAGCGTCAACAGGTGTCAGCCATGGCGCAGAACAGGAAAGGTTGAAGTGCACGTACATTGCAATAACATGAACCTTTAAGATCCTCGAAGGATCTAGTGTCCCTGTGTGGTAGTACAAACGTATATGTATGTACATATGTGGAATCGAAAAATAGAGCGGGAGAGCCAGACGGTGAAGGGGAAGGCAGAAGGGCAATCCTTTCCAACAATCAAAAAAGCTGAGGACGCCACCAAGGGAAAGATGGATATGAGCTGCCCAAACCTGAGAACCATTGCTACACTGACAGAGATACATCCACATCAGTGCCTACATACATTACTCATTACAGGGTCCACACATCAGCACAGCCTGGATGACCCACACACCGAACGTTTGGGGCGAAGATTTTCGCATTTGAGTATGTGAGAGAAGACCGGACAAGAAAAATCCCATCAAACCATGTGGACCAAGGCAGCAACAGCCAGACTATCGCTGCAGCTGAAAGTCAGGACAGCATGCCACGGAATGCAACGCATTTCCTATCTTTGCTCCTGGCTCTCTCCTTGGTGGAGTATGGTGGAGTGGAAGCCTAGCAATCCAACTCCCAGTTTCGACGGAACACGCTGATGTCCCGAGAGCCCAAAACGAAATCATCCCGAAACCTCCAAAGCCTCGAAAGCCCTAGAAACCCTTCTGCAAGGGAGGAGGCATGAAGCAGAAGAGCTGGCTGAACGGAGAGAGCTGTCCAATCATGTGCGCGGCCGTGCTGATCGGGCCGGGGCTTCCCTGGATAGCTTGGTTCCTCCCACTAGTTGGGGCGATGGGTTTGGTCTTTGCATGTTTAGAGCTTGATGAGGCTCCTGCCACCCAATATCCGACGATATCATGCCGTCAAAAAAAGCTTACCCTGCTCTGGTTAAGGCTATGCAGCCGACGCATTCTGCTGCACTCTGCCAAAACGGACGGAAACGATTTAACTCTCGATCCGAGGGTGGAGAGCTAATGGAAACCTTGGAGCATTGGGTCTGAAACGCGTCCCGGGACTCAAACCCGCAGCCGAATCCTAAAGCTCCAGATCAGATTGCTGTGTCAAACCTCAATCCAGCAAAGGCTCGAGAAAGAATCCTTGGACTGTGCTGATGCGATCAGACAGACAAAGAGTCGAAGAGTCGAATCTCGAAAAGCAAAAACAGCAGCAGCAGCAGCAACAACAACAACAACAACCACAACCACAACCACAACAAATCAATTGCACGCTGCACGAGTGGACCCCACGCATAACGGGCATGTAACCGGGCTAGCACTCACTGAGAAGTGAAACCGACCTAGATTCTAGATGAGATCCAGCATGCGGGTTGGCTAAGCTGTGATCTACGGCTGCCCGGGCTCAAAGGCAACTTTTTGACAGATCCACTCCATGCTGCTCCGCACCGCTTTGGGCCGACAGGCACTTGAGGCTCCCTTCCCCACCGAGCAGGGTTGCCTGCTGCGGCTGCCCCGTATCCTGATGGACCGACGAGCACACGAGAGGGTTAAGAGACCTCCACATGACAGGACCACGGTCTAAGTGCAGCACATGTAATCTTTGAGGTCAAGCTGAGTGTACCTGAAATGTTTCAAGGACGTCCTGCTAAAGTTTCATCTTTTCCCGAATCACAAGTCCAGTAGCAGGCGCAAGCAAATGAGATAAAAGACTCAGCGGCTCAGCCATCCAAGTGCGGCCTTCAGCAAGTAGGAAAGTTTGTCTGTTGGCACTGCCACCTGTACCGGGCCGACTGTCGGAGTATTGTCTGGCCAGTGGCCCCGGAGACTCAGCACTTCCACTGCCTGTACAGGGCCGACTGCCGGGGTATTGAGACGGCCTTGTCGGCTGAAACTGCAAGTCTTGGCCGACAATTGTGCAGAAAACTGACACGGCGGAACACGAGGCAAGGCTAGGCCTAGAACGCTTTAGCAGGCAGCTCTGTCTTGGAAGCAGTAAAAACTGCAGCTGCAAGGCTTAAGACGGCCTGCGGAGCTGGACAGTCTGGTTTCGAACCCAGCTGTTGCACAAAAAAACAAGCACTTAAAAGCAGTACCGAAATCGGGAAAAAACTGGGCTGCACAAGGCTAGGTGCACGGCGCTACAGGCTCAGTAAGGCTTGATCTCTTCGTCAAGGTTGCTGCGGCAGGCCCGCACATGCGTATAGCATGTTTGGCCTCTATGAGACCATATACCCTAAAGACTCAGCGGCTCGGCCATCCCAGCGCGGCCTTCAGCAAGTAGCAGATTGGGTCGGTTGGCACTGCCACCTGTGCCGGGCCGACTGCCTGGGTATTGTTTGGCCAGTGGCCCCTGAGACTCAGCGCTTCCACTGGCTGCACCAGGCCGACTGAGGGGTGCCCTGCAGTGTTGAAACTCGGCTGAAATTGCAGGTCTTGGCCGACACTTGTGCACAAGCTGACACGGCGGAGCACGAGGCAAGGCTAGGCCCAAGATGCTGTAGCAGATTGCCCTGTCTTACGAAGCAGTCAAAATGCAGCGACAAGGCTTGAGACGGCCCGCGGAGCTGGACAGTCTGGTTTCGAACCCAGCTGTTGCACAAAAAACAAGCACTTAAAAGCAGTACCGAAATCTCGGCAAACCTGAGCTTCACAATGCTAGGTGCACGGCGCTACAGGCTCAGTCTTCCTGCACGGTCTCGTCATGTGCTCCACATTGGTTGGAGACGTGCCACTGCGGCTGAGTTTGTGGTCCGGGCTTTTCACCTTCTCCGACATACTGGATCTATGTCTTGCAACCCAAGTGGCTGCGGGTAGGCCCGCACATGCCTATAGCATGACCTTCCCACACACGGGCACCCTATACGGGCGCAGATTATGCATTAACAGAATAGGGCCAGCACCTACCCTAGTGGCAAGTCGGTTCACTTCACTGTCTAGAAAGAGAAAGTACGTAGCTGCCCTCGCTGACCTTCTGAGTGTCTGAGGGCGTGGCAAGCTTGGGTCGAATGTTGTCATCGCTGATCCACATTCCTGTACGGTCTGACGTGAGCCGGAAGGCTCGGTAATGCCCTTCATGCACGTTTGAACCCAGGTGATAGACCCCGGCCTCAACCTTGTTTGCATAAAGGCATAAAGCTCCCGTTGCTGCCCTTCCGCCCAAACTGGAAGTGTTACTTGCAGCAGATAGGTTGATAGGTTCAGAGTTCTTGGATGCTTGCGACCAACGGCCAACTACAAGAGCGAGCAACTTGGGGGCCCATGACATTCCCCGCTGAAAGACATGCTCGCTCCACGAGTCGCAAAGGTGCTGGAAAGGCCCACCCTGTGGCGGCATCGGCAGGTAGAGGGGAGACCCCATGTCCTCTGCCTCTGCCTGGCCGTCTGTGCATCCTTGCGAAGCAACAGCTTGAATGTCTCCCCCTCTTTCAGCTGAGAGTTCTGTGTAAAATTCTGCTGCATCCTGCTGACGACCATCAAAGCGCCAGTGAGGCAGGAGGTCGCGCAAAACGAACAGGTTGAGGAGATTCCATGGCAAGGGATCTATGTCATGATTTCGACATTGCCTTCGCGAGGAGGGGGTCAGGCCCGCAAAGTCTCTCCAGTCGTGCTGCAAGGCAAAGAAGGCTGCGATGACGGAATTAGCATAGCAACTGTTGCTAGTGTTCATCATCGCTCGCACCTACTGGGCAGCACCCTGATCAAGTCCTGGCGCAGCTATGGTAGCTGCCGCCAGGGTTAGGGAGCTGGGACCGGCGGGGCCGCTTGTGGGGCCTGCTTCAACGGAAAGAAGTCACACAAGGACCAAGTCCCCTTCTTAGACAGTTGCTCAGTTAGACCCTGGCCTCTTTCAGTCGCTCCACTATGCACCCGTCTCCAGCAGAGACAGATTTGAAAGAGTATGACGCGTTGCTCCGGATGTTTTTGCTATCATGGACCTGCCGTTTGCAGAAAGAGCAGCGATGTCCCTTAATGAGCTGGGCTGAGTACCCAGCGCAGAGCTTCATCGCCTGCGGTCCATCCGTCCTGCAGTCCTGGGGATGAGCCTGTCTAATATGTGACGTGACCTTGATGAAGTCAGGCGTCCAAAAACCACAGTCCACTTCAGCCAATATGTCCTCGAGGCTTTGCAGCGTGTTGGGCATGACTGTACTGTCTGCGGCGTGGCCAGCAGACTGCGCCTTAGCTGCCCTGGCCTTGAGCTTGCGCAAGCAAACACGCAGGCGCTCCTTTAGGATCTGCACTGGATCCTTATGCGATGCAGGGCAAAAAGATCTACTGTCGGGAGCCTGGATGCGCAGGCTGGTTGAGGACAGAGCGTAACTTATGTGCATTCCAGCCCCTCAGACTATCAGGTGTCTGGCTGTATCTGGCATCAAACCTGTCTCTGGCAGCCCAGTGATTAGAGTGGCCCAAACCGTGCTGAACCAGACTCTTAGCCTGAGTTTCGGGCTGGCAATGCGACGGTTACACAGTTGCGCCCTTTGAGAATCCTGAGGCCGGATGCTAAAGGTCTGGCAGGCACCGCAGAACTCCTCCAACCACTGATTACCC